AGGTCAGAGACGAAGTACAAAGTGATCAAAGTCGTGACTGGAAAATAAATGGTCCATGCCCATCCCGTCTCCGTAGGCGGACTGGGCAGCCTACACGAATTGCACTGCCTCGGCAGCAAGATAGGAACTCGCCGTGAAATAAATACGAATTGATCGTAATAAATAACTTTCTCACCAGAATAACGTTTCCCTTCTACCAGTGAATGATAAAACGATCCATAAAGAAATTGACTGATCGATGCCAGTATACTAGCTGAATTGTGAATAGATGACTGTAGTCGTAAAAGATAAAGACAGGTTGCCGAGTAGTAACGGTACAGCATTCAGTATTAGAGTGGGCTACCACGATAATAGATAATAAAAGTGCCGAAAAAAAAAAAAATGTATAACATAAATGATGATATTTACAATCCATAAATATATCCCGAAAAAATTCATTTCGAGTGAACAAAAAATATATATCTACCCAAAGAAACGGTAACCAAAAACCAGACACCCATGACGCCTAGGGATAAATCTAGGGATAAATCTAGGATCTTTGACTTAGTCAGAAAAAAGAAGGTCCGTACACAAATCCAGGATGACTGGACGAGTCTTTGATGACGACTACACCTTCAAGTGGTGGATCCTTTCTCGGCTTCGCCTTTGGGAATCCACTCTCGAAGATGGCGTCTCAAAAGGATTCTATAATGAGAAGGCCTAGTGGAACCTGGTTCGAGCGAGTAACAGACAAGGCCAGACTAAACCAAACAAAAAATGGCTACAGGCATCCCTAATATAGGTACCCCCATGTTGGTAGTATACGAGACCAAGGCTCCCTGGACTCGTAGGAAAGGTGACTGGACATTTTTTTTCATCTTTTCAACATATTCAGCCATCGATTACGAAGCACAAGCTGTGCGTGCTACATGATTGCAACTTCCTATATTTACTAGCGTTACTATAGCACACACTATATCCACTTTGTACAACCTTCCTCGAGAATGGTCACATAACCTAGAAGCCCTTTGAATCGTCCTACTATATATATATACACACACGTAACACTGGTATACCCTCATATATCGATTGGCATGAAATCGATTCGCCCTGCCTTTAAAATTAGGCCACTTTCCATCCAGGGAATTTAACGAGCAGATCTTAACACCTAAAGTTCACATGAAAGTGGGATACGACGAATAGAAATGAATATGTCTAAGGTCAGTTACGATTGTCGGTACATACATAAATAACGTGGTCGCGACTCCCGCATTTGCTCGCCGAGTAATACGAGTCTTTGAGAAAACATTACGAGGCCAGTGAACCGAAAGTCTCGCGAGAGGTTCAAATGGTCTGGAGAGGCTCTTATCAGAAATTTCAAGTGTGGTTATGATATAGGTTTCCGTTTGTTAATCTTGCACATTGCTATCATGCACCTCCTTCAAGTTCATTGAGAGCAGCGTACCTCTCGTATGTGAAACTGTTTCTGGCGATAGTGCCAAATTTAATTAGACACGTGCACGAGTATGCTATCACGGCATGTGACTAATGGATGCATCATCGCCTTGTTACTAGTTGGAATATGCAAAGCACGCAAGCTTGAACTTCCGACATATCTTTCAATTCTGACACAGATTATCCACGGTTACTGACCACAGATATCGAACAATAAAATGCATTATCCCACGTCACACGCAACTGCAGTGTTCAATGTAAACAGTATTGTATAGAGTGGCAATGGTGAGATGAAGATTTTTTTTCTCACACACTTAACTGTACGGTTATTACTCAACAGTTAAGTTGCATTGACGCGGTACGATAGAGGTAAAATGTTTATAATGATTATCTTTTTTTTATAGCACCCTTATATGCCATTGCTATCAAATCGATATATCGGCGTTATAAATTGTAGGGACTTCTCCAGGCACACTTCTTTCAGACTGTATACCTATATATATAAGTATTAAATTATCACGTGACCAGTGATAAGGCATTGGGATTGATATATAATAATACATGTAGTACATCGCGAAAATACACAGTGCATTGCCCGGTGTTGCATTTGCAGTCGGTGCAAGGTGCGCAAAGCGTATTGGATTGCGATAATAAAATTTCTCCTGTATAAATAGTGATGTTATGAATGACGAAAAAAATAATTAAAAAGTCTTATAGGCAATAAGCTAGTATTTTTCTGATAAATCCTATAATAAAATTTCAATGACGTTCAACTAGAATGTTGCGTATATTGCGTAACGTAGGGTAACGTATTTGTTTATGTATTATTTGCCGATATACTTATCGAAAAAAATTCTCAAATCCAAAGATACGTCTTTTTGTTATTCGGTGCGGAGCCTCGTCTAATCCTTGATACGTAGTCATCTATACGGCTAAATACAGGTAATGTCTAATCAATCATAACAGATTAACGATAGGGACTATATCTGAATGTACTATAGATAAGTCGATAAGTCGGCGCCTCGACGACAGTTGACTTTACGTATTTTTGTTAGTCTATCAGTTTTTTTATCACCTACGAACCGACGCCACGCTAGCCACTGACCACGTGTCACACAAAGAATGCCCATTTCCATGGATCGACAGATTTCGATCCAGGTCGCCATTGCATCAATTTTATAGGGAGAAAAACAAAAATGAGATATCACGCGCAATCAGTTTCTACGAACGGTTAAAAAAAAAATGAAGGTTAACTAGCGCGGATAGTCAAAAGCCGCATTGTGGTTGATGATAAATAAAAATGCGAAAGAAGATGAGGAAGGAAAAAAAAATGAATTACGAGATGAAGTTCGACCTTCATAACCATCGCTCGTTACGTAAGGACGATAAAGATATTTTGGCATTTTTTTTTCCACGAGTACGAGACACGCAGAATCAGTTATCAGTCCAATACTTATACTTGGTAGAATTAAATACGTTCGTTATCAATTATTACAGCCGTCCAGATTATTCAGATATTCAATTAAATTCATCTGACACGACCCTCGTGGCTGATGACTTGATCTCTGAGACCCACGAATCTTATCCCTCCACTTATCAAATGCGAAACAGAAGGAAGGAGTGAAGAAAAAAAAAAGATAAAAAAGAGACATTTACTGGTTCGATATAGATTATAAAAGCGGCCCACCCAAAAGGGGTTAGTGACGTCAACTTATCAAATTCCAGGAGACCTTGTATCCATGACTATCGTTTTTAGTTTTAATGAACACACAACGTCGTAAAGGCAGAATCCGCGCATACGTGCAACGTTCGAGGGAATGACTATAGAATAGAATGATTTCTGCAGAGAGCAGCCAACCCACGTGGAACGTCCACAAGTGACTTTCAAGTGACGACTGTACTGTACGCAAGTGGCATAGCAGAGACGTCATGCCAGTCGCTGAAACGTTCTAATGAAAATTCCCTTCAGTTTTACAGGACAGAAGTCTCCCCTCTTATTTGAGAACAGTATACAGGACCCACCTCATCCAGCTGCGCGGTCCCCCATTTTTCAATATGGCGTTCCCCTATTCTCTCTTCTCGCTCTCAAACGCATTAGAGTGCCGACACTCTGCACTCTGCACTCTGCACTCCGTGCTCGTTATGCTGCAGGGTCTCTCCCTCTCCATCTCTTTCTCTCCTGCAGCGAAGCGTCAGAGCCGCGATACTTGCATAATGAGGAAATAATTGGAGAGTCCGAAGGATTGACGGAAGGTTGTGGGGTTGAAAATTGGAAACGTCGATCCATCGTGAACGGGTGACCTTACGAGTTCACGTGTCGTGCGCGTGCAGAGTGATCGAGGATTTCTGATAAAACAATACAAGGAACGATATAAAGACCAAATATGGAAAACGTGTGAAAGTAGGTAACGGGAGATCGTGAATAGATAAAGCCATACGTATACCTCGATCATGGAATACCTTTAAAGTCCAAGAAGCGACGTGAAGAATGAATCTTACTTCTGTGCTAATTAAGGCTGAACTGCCGTTGCTAATAGCACGTTTTTCCCCCTATACCTTCTGCGTCCGGTGGACGTAAGTTTTGCACCTGCAATCGGCTGTAGGATCTGGAAACTGGTACGGGATTCCGAGCTCTCGGTATCCCAGGGTCTGGCATTGGAACAAGGGATACATAAGGAAGACTGAGGAATGCAAGGACCACTGCAGGATACCTTAAAAGTATCTTCTGTGAGACAAATGACTAGGTACACTTCTCAGGCACTGCCATTAACCGCTGGACTAATTGTACAGAGGAGTAATCTAAACGTCCTCCGTTTTCAAGATGCTTTATGGAAGTCAAAAGTATCTGCTATGGAAATGGAAAAAAAAGGTACGGCTCGCTGCTGTGGAGAGAATGTATTGCGCGAGAAAATATATCCCAGGAGACTGATACAATAGCTTCTAACGGCTGACACAATGGTAACTAAAATTTTTACCGACTGCGGCGAAGCCTCAAGATTTCACGTGACAAGTCAGGCCGTTTTGAATTCGTAGAACGAGAATATAACGTGGAACGTGACGGAGCGTGAATCTCGAGCTAGAAAAGGCAATTTCGGGTGGCCAGAACAATGGAGAAGAATGAAACTGCTATAAAGGATTGACTGTCAGAGTGCCTATTGGAATTTTAAAGCAAGTCGTGCCACACGTGATTCCTCCGTCTCCTTGTGGCAATACAATAAAAGGCACACGCGTAATATGGCTGCCAGCAAACATATTTACGTATTCGAGTTAAAGTGCGCGTGCGCAGAATCGAAGAGTGAAATCGATCTCGCGCGTTCACTGAAAGAATCGATAATCGATGCAGACATTAACAAGGTGAAGCTGTCGAACGAAACCTCTGTCACTACCGACTGGCAAAAGTCGTGCCGACTACTAATGAAGATTGATCTTGAGAAATTGCGCGAGGAATTTCGACACTCTCACCTGTAGCAACACGAAACGACGTCACGCGAAATACAAAATCTATTTGCCCCTCTCACGTGTAAGGATCGTTGAAACTGCGTGTTTTGAAGATTTTTCAAATTTACCTGTCAATGTCAGGATGACGTCCACCAATAGTTTCCAGTGCATCACGCTCCTGCATGCACTCATGATTTTCTCGCAGGCACCCTGAGTCGCCACGGTGACTCCTAGTGTGTCCACTACGTCGGTACCCCCTGCACCTTCCAAGTCCTCCCTACTTCGTTTCGTCAGCTGTTCGGTAGATTTCTGTAAACACAATTTTTACTTAAGCTTCCCGACACGATAGAATCTTCGAACATGATCGATTACGGATAATTGTACATTTGTTAAGGTATACGCCATTGTACTAAATCATACTCTAACTGAAATTTACCAGAGACGTAGAACAATTTTATAATTAAAATTTGAAATTTTTACTTGGAATTTCTTTAACTTTCGGTGGCTTTCCGAAATAATTCATAATGGACTTTTACTGTCATCTTTGGTTACGTTAATTAAGGTCCATACGTGTCGACGCGCACCAGCAATAGTACAGCACAGTACAATGGTGTGATATACCACTATAAGAAGTGACTGTTAATCACATCTTTATAGAATATTTCGCGTGACACGTGTCAGCACGTACAATAGCTCCAAGAGAAAAAAGGTAATTCAAGAGACACGTTGAATTTATTCACAGTACCAATAACCTTTCGGATTCCAAGGAGTCAGGGTTTTGTTCTCTAAGTGAGCCATATATTTCGACGAACTAACGAACTCTAAGGACTGGTAGATATTGCTATACAGCACTTGAGAAAATGGGAAGCCCGATGTATAAATACATCACCGAAAACCAAATAGTTTTGACCACCGACAACAAACGGAAATTGCCTCGGCACGTCATAATATATTTGTTCTCTACTCGTAAAATGACCCGCGGTCATCCAAGATGCTCCCTTCGGTTTCCATGACTTTTTTGTTCTTTCTCTCGCCACTGAAACGGGATACTTAAAATGTATTGGTCCTGTTACAAGCTATTTGTTGTACACACATTCCACTTCGTGATTTGCTACGTCCCACGTGGGTGCAGTTGACTTCCAAAAATTCGTTTATACCTGCGTGTTAACAAACAAGAAACCTTGAAGTAGGTACCGTGCGGGAGACGGATGGCTTTTTTTTTTATTTTCATTTTAAATTATTAACGATTACACTAATCCCTCACAGACTCGATAACTGTACATATAATACTCACACAACAGTGAAATACACACTAAGCGTATAAATCGTCCAATATTCAGAAGAGAATCCCGGTAAAGATACAAATAAAATTTTTTCCACCAAAATTTTTCATATACAATTAACAGACATTAGGAAAATGTATAGAAATAAAAAATAAATAAAACCAATGACGTAGCATTGTAAATGGCGAACGATAAACTTTCAGCGAATACCACTTGACGTCATATCAATAAATCCAGCGCTATCTGTCACTTAAATTCTAATTACAATTTTTCGACTGTACATCTTCGTTTGTTCCTCCCCCTCCATCTCGCCTCTTCTATGTATACAAAATATCGCAAATAGATGAAAAAAACATACAGCAGCCGTACGATACCGTTTGGTTATCCAGACAGTTCCAGGAAGAGATAAAATTTAAAAAAAAAAGAGGAGGGTAAGAATCACATGACAGAATTCTCGAAACAAGAGCAAGGGTTGAGCAAAGTGACAGGATGGTTACGTTCTTGAGGAGTTAAGAAGTGAGTAACAAAAAAAGAAAGAATAAAAAAATTTCTCAGAGCGTGACGGATCCGTCCTACATACTTCACGCGCTCCCCTATGGACACGTACACCCTAAGGCATGACACCCCATCATGTTCTGAATAAACAAAAATAAAAGGAAAAGACGAAAGATACAGCCCAACGACACCCCACGGGGCAGTTAGGTTAGGTAACATGAGTTCACCTCCCAGCAAATGTCAGGGGTTAAACTGAAGAACCGCTAAAGGGTTGGGCACCTCACTGTGCCTACACGTGAATGGACCTGACTTTTCACCTAGATATGAATGGACATTCAAAATCTTATTCAACCCAGCATCCCTCCTCAAGGTGGCAAAAGACAAAAACCGCCAACCTTCCCAGTGCATTCATGGTCGTGACACGTTTTCTATGGAGGCATTAGTAGACGGTGAAAGGTCGCGTAGAAAATAGAAGGAATGAAAAGGTGAAAGAAAAAAAAAAAAGATCTTTGCATCCACAGCCATATAGCTGCTACGTGAATTTATATAAGCATCGTCAAGAGAAATGCATTTGAAATCGTTCAAAGGAATTTTCTTACGATTTCCATACCAACTGGAATGTAAAAATTCTTGTGCAACCATACTCGACTGTCGACATGCAGTCGTTCAATTTTATTTTACTTCCCTCTTGGACAAGACCTTACTGTTTATCTTGCATAATAGTACGAGCGATTCAAGAGATAAATCAGACTTGCGATGCAGCAATGAATTTCGAAGTAAACTAAAATTATTTTTGTCGTATAATCGTTATATTGGATTTTTTTAAGTTAGATAAAAATATCTAAACATCTATTTGATGATCCACCGTGGGATCTTATTGGATTCTTATTAAGGCAAGTATTATCGATAATCAGACTGACAGTCGTATCGATCATTGAAACGTGCTTTGTTTATTTTTAATAAGAGCCCGCGAGCTATTGAGGTATTGATGTACAATAATCATTGATGATAAACAGATAAGCCTAACCTAACGAGATAACGGTAATGCAGAAAGACATGTCTGATCGGATTCCTGTACGCCATCGATGGAAACCAACAATAATTAAATCAATATCGAATCAATGAATTAAAAATATTCGATAACTCTGGAGTCCGATTAGATTCGACTAGCGAGCTGATATAACAGATATACTTGGTGCGGCATTCAAATTTAAGTTGACGGCACATCGAAAAAAGGCGCGGGAATTCAAATTTCGCCCGGAGCTAAAAACAATTCTATGGATCGGTATTGACAGCAAATATTAATTATCTCGATAATTAAGAATAATCGAGTTCAATATCTTAATAATACACGTTTGTTTTAATCTTAAACTTCACGTATGGTAAGTCGTGACGTTAGCAAGGTAAGAATATAAAAAATTACATATAACGATATTAAATTTAACATATTCAGATTCGACTAGAAAATAATAGCGATGTAAAAATAAATCCATTGCTGCGATAAGAGTTCAATTAAATTTATATACATGACTCCAATCACTTTGTATTAGAAGAATAGATTATCGTATGCAAACAATTATTAAATCGCTCACTTATACTTTTCCTCGTTGAATTAATGCAAGACAACTATTGTATAAATGTATAAATGTATATACAAGATAGTAAAAAATATACATAGGTATATAAAAATTTTATTATATGATTAAATGTATCTCAATCGTTTCAATTTCTGGTCGACACGCTTTACGAGGAATTCGGTAAAAATTCGTACGTAAGTAGATACAACGTATCTGTGAAAACACTTGGCAGGATAATATTCTTTTTTGTGTAACAAAAACTGCATTTAATTAAGAAGATATTAAAAAAGTCGGAGAGCCTTAAGGTCAGTATAACACTTGAGTACCCGATAAGATATCAGCTGATATATAGGAACGACAGTAATTGATTTGTAATATATTTCAAAGATTCAATTAGAAATGATTAGCTATATAACTTAACAAAACAATAATAAATAATTTAAAAAATGTCTGAATCTTTCAAAAAATTCATCACAATTAACGATTCTTCATTTACCCAGGTAATTTTCGACCTTTAACCGTTACTCGTGATAAAATGAAATGCCAGCCGCTGGACCAGTCTCATTTACTTGATCTTCACTGGAGTACAGTTTTCTACTACGTATGATATGAAAAAAAAAGCACGCACGATGCGTAAACGATTATACGCATTCTTCATCCTAAGTGGTCATTACGCGAGATATCTCAGAAATTCCTGTCTTACCAAGAAGATACCTAGAAAATTCATAAACCCCAAGACAGATGTGAACAATTTACTTGAAAGAAAAAAAAAAACCAGTTCCCACACGAAACATCCTAATAATCGACGCTCCGTATGAATATTTTTGCCATCTAGGCAAAAAGTTTGGTATTTCCTTTTATGTATGAAATTTTAAAAAGCATCCATACGGCAACAGAATTTTATTATTTGCACAAAATATTAGAATCTACTGCCAGAATTTCAGCATTACTTGTCACTTAACTCACATCTTCCCTATACATATTATTCCAGTGCCCTTTTATCTCCGGTGCCTTCCCCAGCGTACGATTATTAAAAAAAGAAATTACTTAACGTCCCGCTGACATCAAATAAACAAATCAATTGAACATCGTTCCATTACTTCCCGTGGTCAAGGAACCCGATACTGTTTAAATTCACCTTCGAAAAATGATTAACGCAATCACTTTAATTGCAACCCTAGCAAATTAATCTACATTAAAGCTATCGGTATACCTACACGAAGCGAATCCCACCGGATCGCGATTCGATACGTCACGATTTTTTTTTGTCATACTCAAATGTCAATCGCATATCAGAATAAGTAAATAAGTAAAGAATAAAAGTAAAAAAATTGAATGCATATTTTTAACTATGCAACAAGTACAATTTTGTCCTGTTTGAGATTTTGAGGGATCTGACAATTGGAAAAAAAAATTTGAGATGCGAATGATCGTTGATCCTGAGGATCGTTCGAAAAAGAAGCCGCATGTATGGAAAAAGGAACCCACGTATGGAAATGTCACCGAAATGCGCCGAGGGTGAAGATCGCTTTGGCACAACATATGTGACACGTGTGTTCGACGTATGTAAAATTCGACAGCAGAACTCGAGAGACGCCGTACATGATTCTCCGAGGTTTACTTATTCATTATGGACAGTGTTTTAGTTTTAAAAAGTTTTAATTCAGATTCTCGATACGTAATCTAACGTCAAAAAGTACTCGTGCGTAAATTACGTCACGCGATGCTACGAATTGGACGGACAAAAATAAAAGAGCGGTGATGATGCGAATTTTCGTATTAACAAAAACTAGAGTGGGATTGTGGGTAATTAATGGTTTACAAGTCTCCGTGAATTTTTGCCGCTTAAACTGACAGTGACAATCGACAAAATTTATGAACAGTCGCTAACCAAAGTGTATGTCAATTCATACACAAATTTTGGACTAATTACAATGACTGTTATTGACACTGA